TTGTAAACTGCCCCGATGGTAATGGGCGCGACTCTTGCCGAGCGCCGAGTTGCAGTGACTCTTTTGGCGAGAAGCCTGAACCTCGGACGCGCACACACTGGTTTGCACCTCGACGCGACTCTGGCCTGTCACTCTCGCAGAAGCCCGGGCTCTGGCCAGGCAGCAGAGTCGCGATGCCACTGGGCACGAACGCTGAGCTTTTGACGCGCGAGCGCACGCTGCTCGAAAACTGCGGCCCAGGGCCAGGCGAGAGAGTGCGGCAGGGCAACACGAGGCCGACGCGACGCGGGCAGGACGGGGAGGTCTCGCTCCTCTGGACTCCGCCTGGCAGCGGCGACCGTCCGGGGGGATGAGGGGGGGCGAGCTGAGTTGCGACGAGTCGCCGGAGACATCGGGGCGCCTGGCGAAGAGCCATGGAGCTGGGCATGCGGAAAGGGGAGGAGGACGAGGGGGAGGAGGGAGGAGGATGAGGAGGAGAGGGGGAGGGATGAGAGGATGAGGAGGAGGAGGGAGGAGGAGGGGGAGAGACGATAGAAGTAGGGTGATGAGGAAGATGAGGAGGAGGAGGATGGAGGAGGAGCGGAGGGAGGAGGAGGAGGAGGAGGAGGAGGAGGAGGAGAGGGATGAGGGGGCTCCGCGCGGGACCCCCTCGTCCTGCGGAGCCTCGGCGGCCCCGCCGGAGGCCCCGCGGAGGGCCCCGCGGGGGGAGGCCGAGGCGAGGAGCAGAAGCCTGGGCCCCCGGCCCGCCGCCGCCTCCTCCTCCCCTCCCCCATCCTCCTCCCCCCCCCCTCCCCCTCCTCTACCCCCTCCCCTCCTCTCTCCTCCTCCTCCTCTTCCTCTCCTCCCCCTCCTCCTCCCCCCTCCCCCCTCCTCCTCCTTCGCCTCCTCCTCCTCCTCCCTCCTCCCCTCCTTCTCCTCCTCCCCCTCCTCCTCCCCCTCCTTCTCCTCCTCCTCCTCCTTCTCCTCCTCTCCTCCTCCTCCTCCTCCTCCTCCTCCTCCTCCTCCTCCTCCTCCCTCCCTCCCACTCCCTCAGGGCCGACGCCTCCTCACGGCGATCGGCGGTGGGAGCTGCGCCGGCGGCGCCGGGCGGCCCGTTTGAGCGCCGAGGTTCGTGACCATGGTGTTTCGGCCACATGGCCGGCACATTCGGGGGGGGGGGGGGGGTCACGAGCCGGACGCCTCCTCCTCCTCCTCCTCCCTCCTCCTCCTCCTCCTCCTCCTCCTCCCTCCTCCTCCTCCTCCTCCTCCTCCTCCTCCTCGTTCTCCTCCTCCTCCTCCTTGCGAGTTCAGTGAAATCAGTGGAATCAGTGAAGCCAGAAGTTGAGATCCGTGAACTTGCGAGTTCACGGTTCTCCCCCAGACCAGCTTTCGAATCAGGGAACTGGGCAGTGCATTGATTCTACAGGTAACATCAGTGAAATGGCACAGTCATTGATTCTACCTGTGGGGGGGCACGAGCCGCCGCCCGGCCTCCTGCGCGCGCCGTCCGGGGCGCACGGGGGCAGCCGCGCGGGGAAGGCCAGGGAGAGGGCAGGAGGAGCTCGAGGAGGCGGGCGCGGGCGGGGAGGTCGAGGAGGCGGGCGGGGAGGTCGACGAGGCAGGAGGAGGTCGAGGAGGACGAGGAGGCGAAGGGGACGAGGACTGGACGGGGCGGGGGCAGGGGCAGGAGGAAGCGAGAATTCGCGAACGAAGGGCGCTTCGAGAGCTCGCCTCGTGGGCGCCCCGTGTCCACTCATGGGCGCCCACGTGGGCGCCCCGTGTGCTGGGCGGGTGTGCCGAGATTTCGCCAGCTCGTCGGCGCCTCGTGGTTGCCGCAATGGTTTCACCGCATAGCTCACACACACACACACACACACTCCACAGCTCACGCCACAAATTTTCTACAGAGCAGCTTGCACAACACAGCTTGCACAACATAGCTCGCTCACATCGCACAGCTCACGCCACATATAATATACAGCTCGGCTTGCAAAACACAGTTTGCACAACATGGCTTGCAGCGCATATCTCACATCGTACAGTTTACAATATAGTTGCCACCTCCACCATGGAAATACGTACCGATTGGGCCACCCACTGGACACATACACACACATATGTATATGTATGCATCGCGTTACTCATGTAAGCGCCTTCTTGGTTGTGGTATAAGGGGTGTTTGTGTTTGTATGTATGTGTGTGTATGTATGTATGTATGTATGTATGTATGTATGTATGTATGTATGTATGTATGTATGTATGTATGTATGTATGTATGTATGTATGTATGTATGTATGTGTGCACGTATGTATGTAAATATGAATGTATGTATGTATGTGTGTGTATGTATGTATGTATGTATGTGTGTATGTGTATGTATGCATGCATGCATGCATGCATGCATGCGTGTATGTATGTATGTAGGTATGTATGTATGTATGTATGTATGTATGTATGTACGTACGTACGTATGTATGTATGTATGTATGTATGTGTGTATGGATGCATGTCTGTCTGCCTGTGTGCGTGTATGTATGTATGTATGTATGTATGTATGTATGTATGGATGGATGGATGGATGGATGGATGGATGGATGGATGGATGGATGGATGGATGGATGTACGTATGTTTGTGCGTATGTATGTATGTACGTATGCATGCATATGTACACATGTCTTTTCTTCCGTGTTTATGATCCGCGTTCTCAATGTGATTTTCCCCGTGTGATCTGCGGCGTGTGCATTCTCCACGTGACAGCCAGACCCTTTCCAATTTGAACTATCACAGATGTGCAGGTGGCGTTTTTCGCTTTCGTGTTTTACGTTCCCTGGTCGTGGGCCCGAGCTCTCTGGATGTCGTGTCAAAACTCGGGAGAGTCGGTCTGAAGGCCGAGTCGACAAACGTGCCCGATGCGAGATAGTGGTCACGATCGTGGCCTGCACGAGGGAGGGGCAGCTGCGAACCGAGCGGGCCTGCTCCGGCCAATTCGGTCCCAGGCTTTCAGGCGCGCCCTCGCGCGGCCCGCGGCGAGAAATGGTACGCACAGCCTCACCAGAACAGTTCAGCCTGCGGGAACCAGACGGCGATCCAGATGGGCGACGCAAGAGACGGGTTTGACTGCGCGGGCATTCGCGCGCAAGCTGCCCGCGTAAGGTCGCGCCCTCAAGCGCCCTCGTCCGTGTTAGAGCGTGACGCGCAAGCGACCCGCGTTGGCCGCTGCGTCAGGTCGCCATGCCAGCATGCGCAAGACCCCTGTCTCTTCGTCGCTTACATGAGGATGTTCCCCAGCCTGGGCTGTGCTCATCGGCCCGCCACTCCACCTTCTCAGCGCCACCCGGATCTGGCGGGCCCGTCGGGCAAGCCGAGAGGCGAGAGGGCTCGCAGCGCGAGAGCAGCTCCTCAGAGCCTGCGGCGGAGCTGCCAGCTCACGTGGAGCAGTTCGAAAGCTCGCGCGAAACACCACGCGGCGTGCGCGCGGGAATCTCCGAGGCGCTGGCGACCGAGATGAGCCCCGCACGGCCTGGCAGCGCCCGGCGCTTGCTAGGTGGCCCGCTCGGCGCCGCCATGGATCCGCCAGGACGGACAGCCTGGGCGACGCCGCCGCCGTGGCAGAGTCGCGTTGGCTCGCGCGCGTGCTCCGCGCAGAAATCGCCGCGCCATCGCGTATGATCTCATCTCGGCGGCGAGCCCAGGGGGGAAGGGAGAAGGGACGGACCTTCCGCGAAGGCTCGGGAGGCCTCCGGCTTTCTGGGAAGTCTCCTGAGCATGCCTCCGGAACACGGAAAGCTTCTCAGTAGGCCAGGGAAGCCCCACCGCCTTCTGAGAAGGCCTTGTCCTTCTCATTCCCCCCCCTGGGGTCGCCGCCTAGTATGATCCATTTCGTCAGGGATGCCGTGTGATGATTCAGGGGCGTATAGCAGTTGCGGGTGTCCGCAACCGCTAAACACCCCTGAATCATCACACGGCATGTGGGGTGTGATGAATTATATGGTTATTTGTGATTGAACTGTCGTGCACTTTATTATGTGGTAGCCAACGGCACAACCATTGGAGCAACCTGGGAACAGCCCAGGGGGCACCCAACGGGACAAACCGCGGGTCAACGCACGAGTCGAGCCTCCGGACAACCACGGGACAATGCACAAGACAGCGCACGGGAGAATCCACGATGCAACCCATGGGCAGCTCACGTTGCAACCCACATTGCAACCCACGGGATAATTTCGCGGGCACCCGCGCGGCCGCGGCTCGCATAGTCGTTGTGTCCAGACTTGGCCCTAGCTGCGCCAACACACCGTTGCTTTTGATAGCTCGTCTTGGATTGAATGTATACTGGCGAATCGCGTACAATGGCGCTCAAATGGCGCCCAGTATCGACCAACAGCGTCCACTTGCGCCGTGTGAGAGCATCATGTCGGCTTTGAGCGCTATTGGGCGCGACGTTGGCCGCCATGGGGACGACCAGTAAGCTTCCGTGAGTGGCGTTCGAACGGTGCCTTCGCGCAGCTTCGGCCCTGCCGCACGCACGAGCCGGACCCGAAGCCGATTTGCCCGTTGGGGTCATTTCTCACCCCGCCAACGTCCGATCCTTCCCGCCCTCTCGGGGGAAAGGAAGAGCAGCACCACCACCCGGGGGGGCCGCCTCCAGCGAGGAGGTCCACGATGCCTCCCCGACCTGGGAACAGGGGACGTCTCGAGCGAGAGGGGGGCACCACACCACCGAGGGGACCCCCCCGGCTCCTAATGCTGATGGTCCCTGTCGATGCGTGTCTCGTTGTTCCTTGTTCCCGTCCCCGCCTCATCTCTCTCCTTCCCCGCGCGGGTTTGATCTCCAAGCCGCAAGCCTCGTCCTCCTCCGGCCAAGATCTGCTTAGCACCCTCCCCCGGACCCCTTCTGAATCTCTGATGGTCCATGGGCCCCCAGTTGCCGACACGGAGGAGGCACAGCTGCTGGACGCAGTTTGCCCATTGTCCTACTACTGCTCCTCCGTCTCCTCCCCCTCTGGCCTCCAACACCGCAGGCGTCTCGGCTCCAGCAGCAGCAGCGGCCTGAACTTGAGCCTGCGGGGATGCCGGCACTGCCGCGAGAGGTTCGCGCGGCACCTGGCCGAGGCCTTTCGGGGGGGCGGAGAGGGGGAGTGCGCGGAGGGAGGGCGGAGGAGGGAGGTCCAAGAACTCCACGCGGAGCTCCGAAAGTTCACGCTCACCCTGGATGAAGTATTCATCCAGGGGAGAGTGGTTGACCTTCCGACGAAGCTTGCCGATCTCCCCCCCCTCTTTTCTCCGCCTCCTCCTCCTCCTCCTCCTCCTCCTCCTCCTCCTCCTCCTCCTCCCCCTCCCCCTCCCCAAGGCCAAGAACATATGTACACGTACGCGGTTAGTTTCCCCGGGAGTGCGTGTCAACGCGGACATTCGTGCAGGCAAGACCGCGGAGGGCGTACATGTACATATGTCGTTGCTCGGCCACAGATGGGGGGATGAAGACCAATTGGGGGGTGACCCAAGTGGGGGTTGAAGACCCCAAGGGGGGGGGCGACCCAAATGGTGGGAGGAAGACCACTCCCCAAAGGGGCCCTTCGAGGCCGCTTTTGGAACCGGCAGGGGCCGAAAGGGGGGGCCCTGCAGGGCCCCAGGAAGGTCCTTCTCTGCACCCCCCGTGCAGGTCACCCCCCATGAGCACCCGCTCGATCGGGGCTTGGTCCTTGGGGCACAGGCCGCAGCCCAGCGTGAAGAGGCAGAGCGGTGGGGTGACCCGCGGGTCGGGGCAAGCGTGCAGGGGGGAGGCGGGGAGGGGGAGGGGAGGGCGACGAGGGGAGGTGGATGTGCACGGTGAGGACGAGGGGAAGACGCTGAGGCAGGCCGATGACGTGAGGACGATGGGGCAGGACGAGGCGAGGACGGGGAGGGAGGATGTGCCCTGAGGGGCAGACGAAGCCGGCTCGACTATTTCGAAGCACTTGGCCTTTCCCCTGGGGACGGCTTCTCTTTCCGTGTCGCTCGTCGACGGCCCCCCGGCCCGAAGAGCGCGTGTGGAAGCCCAAGGCGGCCGCCGAACAACGTGCAGGTTCTAATTGTCGAGCCGCCACTTCTTTGGGTCCGCGGTTCAGTGCTCCAGCCTCTTCCCCCTGCTTACATCCTCCTCCCTCTCGTCCCCCCCCCCTCCCCTCCTGGAGGGGGAGGGGAGAGGTGGAGGGGCCCTCCACTCTCCCCCCTCCCCCATCCCTCCCTCCTCCCTCCCCCGCAGTCCCCCTCCATCCTCCATCCCCCCTCCTCCAGGCAGTGGCCGCCGTCCATCCTCCCTCGCTTCGTCTCTTCCTTTCCCTCCCCCCTCCCCCCCCCTGTCCTCGCCCTCCTCCCCGCCCCCCTTCCCCCTCCCTCCCGTGGAGAAGGAGGGGGAACGGGGGGCGGCGGGAAGGAGGGGAAGGACGGGGGGGGTGGGAGACGAGGAGGAGGGGCGGGGAGCTGGGGGGGCGTGGCGAAAACACTGCAACGTCGTAACAAATCACGCCGGGAGCTCCTATAGACCCCACCTGTCTGCGTCATCCCTCGAGCCAGAGCGACTTGGGAGGGCCCAGGGGCCCGGAAGGGGGCGCCAGCGCCCGGCTCGAAGACTATCGAGGCGCCAGGAGATCTCGGAGTGCCGTTCTGGGCCTGCGGCGCGCAGGGGGGGGCAGAGGCAGGGACGGGCAGAGAGAGGAGGCGGGGAGAAGGAGGCGGGAGGCTAGCGCGGCGTGCTGTCTCGAGGACCCAGCACCACCGGAGACAGTGGGGAGAAATGGACAAATTGAGACGCAATGATCTCAGGGTCCAACCCCTCCTCCTCCTCCTGCTCCTGCTCCTCCTCCTCCTCCTCCTCATGTACCATGGGCCCTTGTCGATTGGCAGGAGGATTCTAAAGGTCTTCGCCGCAAGGTAGATTCTGGCGATTCCCTCCTCAGCCTCTCGTCGTCGTCGTGTCGTGCTAGTGTGGTTGCCGTGTGCGGTGCCGTCTGCGCCGTGCTGTGCCTGTGGTGCCGTGCTCATCAGTGCCGTGCGCTGTGAGCGTCGTCTGCCGTGCAGTGTGCCGTGCTGTCTGCCGTGCCGGCAGTCGTGGCGTGCCGTGCCGTGTGGCCGCCCGCGTCCGGGGCGGGGTACCAAGTACCGGCGGCTGAATTGCCCAGGCGGGCTGGCTGCGTCCTGTCGGGCGCAAGGAGGAGACGCTTGCAGCGTGCTCTGGCCCTGTCGGGCCCTTCACGTCCTGTCGGGCTGCAACTCTTCACTTGCCCGTTCGGTGCTGAGTCCAGCGTGCACGCCTGGCATCGCGTAGGCGATGCGTTGCAACGTATTTTGCTGCGCTTGTTTGCAATAGTTAACCCTAGATTCGTGGACGACTTTTTCGGGGTAGACGAAGATCCACCCGATCTCCACGAAGACGCTTGGAGCGTGCATCCTTCCGCCATCGCTGACACTTGCAGGTGGGTAATTCAAGACTTGCTCGGCTGGCAGCTTGACGAAGAGAAAGCCGTCACAGATGCAAGCAAGGCTGTAGTCTTGGGCGTTTCAGTGTGCTTCGAAGAAGCGGAAGGCGTCGCAGTCTTCGAGATACCCGTCGAGAAAATAGAGAAGTGGCAAATTCATATTGCGGAGATTTTAAGGCAGGGAAGTTTGAGCCCTGCGTCGGCTCGTAAGCTGGCCGGCAAGTTGAGTGGGGCGCCACGGTAGTGTCTCAGAGAAGTGCCAGGGTCTTCCTGGTGCCAATTTTTCAGCATGCGTGCGGCAGCACTTTCCGCATTAGCAACAGGTTGCGCCGAGCACTCGCTTGGTGGAGTAGATTTTTGGCCAGTCAGCCTTCCCGCCGGGTGCCACTTGGCCCGCGGATTCTCGACAGGTTGATTCTGTACACTGACGCTACAGGTTCTGGGGCTCTCGCGTGGGTGGCGATTCTCGGCAATTTGCGAGAATTCGCTCGGGCGCAAGTCCCGCCGGCTCTCCGCCGGTGGGCTCTCCCACGCAAGCAACAAATCGGCACGTGGGAGTTGCTTGCAGCAGTCTGTGCTTTATGGCAGCTTTTCGACAAAGTCCGTGCTCCTGTCGAAATCTTGCTGTTTGTAGATAACACTGCTGCTCATGGCACAATTGTGCGCGGATCGTCGCGCCAGGAAGACTGGAACCACCTCGTCAGTGAAATCTGGTTCCAGCCAGCGTCGGTGGGCAATTGCTGCAGTGCTTGGTGGGTGCCGTCGCATTTAAACATCGCAGACGCACCTTCCAGGATCCCTGCGCCGGAGATCGTAACATGCTTGACGGCGCAAGGTTTTCAAGAGATCGATTTTCAGTGGCCGTGCCATTTGGCATGGTTGCCTCGTCTGGATGTCGTTTGCTAGCAGCGGCAAAAAGAGATTGGCCCGCGTGGACCCCAAACAGTACATTTTCACACGGAAGCAGCCAGTGCCCAGAGCTTACTGGTGTGATGCTGTGGAAAGGCAAGCAACGTACGTTGTGATATGACTGCGCCGCACATTGATGCGGTTTTCTGCTTGCGCAAACTCAGCCGTAGCATTTTGGTTCGAAATGCTTGACTTCCTCAGGACACACCGCCAGGCTGTCGAAGCGGCCGAGCGCCAGCAGCGCGCATTCCACGATGTTCCTCCCGGGCCGGAGGCCTCGTGCGTGTACGTGCCGCCGAGAGCAAAGACCCGGGCAGCTCCGGGGTACGTTCCGCCTCGGTCAAAAGCAAAGGCGTCGCACCCGACAGAGAGCGTCGACTCTCGCGTGCGCGCCTGGGTTCAAACAGCGCTGGCAATGACGGCGCCGCAAGACCATCCACCAGGGTCTCTGCCCGACCTCGTGCTAGAGCTGCGATCAGCTGGAATCACGGGCCCTTGGGATCTGCAAGGTTTGGGCCGTGACGAGATCGGACGAGTATTCCCGATCTTGGGATCGTTCCCTGCTTCCTTTGTCAGTAGCCTGCAGCAAGCACGTCTCCACGCAGAAGCTCAACAGCAAGTGCCGGCCATCGCTGGGCCTGCTGCTCATGCAATTGGCGTTGCGCGTCTTGACGTGTCCACAGCCGGCGCCGCCCGAGCTGCTCTGCGAATCCTGGCGATCGCGCGTCGAGACGGCCAGCTGTTGGCGCCGGAGCTCCTTGCCGAGGCAATCGTGGCGCTCTCCAAGGTGCCGGCCGCGAATTTGCAGACGCTGCAGCACGGCGACCACGATGAGATGCCGGAGCGGCCAGCAGATCGGGCATCTTGGCTTCAGGGCCACGACTGTCGGGACACATCTTGGCCTATCCAAGAGCTTGTGGTGCGCGAGCTCCAGAGCTGGCACCGCAGTGCGCTGAAATACGTTTCCCCGGTAAGGCTGTGGGGCCGCGTGGCTGCTGGCGTGCGGCAAGCGCCGTGGCCGCCAACAGAAGCCGTTCTGGGCGCTTTCGCGTTCACAGTGCAGAACGGCAACACGCTCATCAAGTACGTCTCCCAGATCCGCTCCGTGCTGCGGCTCGTGCGTGCTCCGTTAGGAGCAATTTCCGATACGGCTGCCTTGGCTCGGGGAGCGGGAAAAAGCGCAGAACCTCGGTTTAAGGCCAGGGCATCCGCGAGGCAGACACGGGACCTGGCCCGATACATTTGCAATGAATTAGGGGAGCGCGTCATTGCGGACAGCTTTGTAGTCGCACGGCATTTTTGCTTGCGCTATGGTTCGGAAGTTTTGCCGCTTTCGTGGAAATCCGACCATTCTTGTATAGAGATTGCCACCAAAGATGGGGTGGCAGAAGCTACAGTGCACCTCCACAAGCGCAAGAGTTGCCGAGGATCAATCGCAGTTGTTCGAAGGTGTATATGTGCGCAGCAAACGCGAGAACTGTGCGGCGTATGCATTTTGAAAAAATGCTCATCGCAGCCCTTGGTTTTCCCTGGCGCCAGCTACGGCGCAGCTCTGGCAACGCTCAAGGTGGCAGCCATTGCTCTCGATTTCCCCAAAGCTGCTCTTTGGGGCACGCACGCTTTTCGGCGAGGCTGGGCCGACGAAGCTTTAGCGCACGGCGGCGTCCCTGCCTTGTTCTTCAGCGGAGGCTGGAGAGGCGTGGCTGCGTTTGGATATGCTTCTGCGCAGGCTGTGGGGGCAGTGCAGGCGGCCGAATGGCTTGTGGAGTTCACCGAATCTAGTGGCAGCGAGTGAAAAACATATCATCCGCTCTGCTCTGCTCTGCCCTGCCGGGCTGCCGCCAACCCCATCGTACAAGGCCCTTGCGGGCCGGCGTGTGGCCGAAGGGCGCGCCCTTTCCCCCTCTCGGCAAACTTTGGGGTCGTCTCCGAGGTTCCCGTCTCCACATGGGGGAGGGGCCAGAGAAGGGCCGACAGGAGCCTCGACATTGGGGCGAGCTACAGCAGTGGCTCCGTCTGCCCGAACCGACGCGCCCTGTGTCTGGCCCACTGTTGGCGCGACGACGCACGGGGCGAAGGCGAGGGCTAGGAGAATCCTCATGTACCATGGGCCCTTGTCGATTGGCAGGAGGATTCTAAAGGTCTTCGCCGCAAGGTAGATTCTGGCGATTCCCTCCTCAGCCTCTCGTCGTCGTCGTGTCGTGCTAGTGTGGTTGCCGTGTGCGGTGCCGTCTGCGCCGTGCTGTGCCTGTGGTGCCGTGCTCATCAGTGCCGTGCGCTGTGAGCGTCGTCTGTCGTGCAGTGTGCCGTGCTGTCTGCCGTGCCGGCAGTCGTGGCGTGCCGTGCCGTGTGGCCGCCCGCGTCCGGGGCGGGGTACCAAGTACCGGCGGCTGAATTGCCCAGGCGGGCTGGCTGCGTCCTGTCGGGCGCAAGGAGGAGACGCTTGCAGCGTGCTCTGGCCCTGTCGGGCCCTTCACGTCCTGTCGGGCGTCGTGCGCTGCGTTGCAGCACGTGAAACCCGCCCTCCCTCCCTTGTGTGTCGTGTGTCGGTTGGGGGGGACGGGCCACAGAGAGCTCGGGGGCGAGCTGCAGCAGTGGCTCCGTCTGCCCGAACCGACGCGCCCTGTGTCTGGCCCACTGTTGGCGCGACGACGCACGGGGCGAAGGCGAGGGCTAGGAGAATCCTCCTCCTCCTCCTCCTCTTCCTCCTCTTCCTCCTCCTCCCCGCCCTCCCCCTCCTCCTCCTCCTCCTCCTCCTCCCCCTCCTCCTCGCCCTCCCCCTCCACAGGCCCGGGCGGCCGCCGCCCCGCGGCCGCGCGGGGGCTGCGGCTGGCGGCGGCCCTCGCGGCGGCGGCCCTCTGCCTGGCGGGCCGGGGCGCCCGGGCGGCCTGGAGCCTCGGCCCCGCCGCGGCCGGCAGGCGCGGGCGACGAGGACGACGACGAGGACGACGACAGCGACGACGACGACGACGTTGATGACGGCGACGACGACGACGAGGACAACGACGACGACGACGAGGACGACGACGAGGACGACGACGAGGACGACGACGAGGACGACGACGAGGACGACGACGACGAGGACGACGACGAGGACGACGACGACGACGAGGACGACGACGACGACGAGGACGACGACGACGCCTCGTCAGGGGGCTGTGGGTTCTAAAGCCCTCCCTCCTCGCGATGGTGGGCCGGGGCGCGTGGGCGGCCTGGCCCGGCAGGCGCGGGCGACGGCGGCGTTGCCAGCGACGTTCACCGAGCGCGCTCCACGACTCGCAGAGTGCGCACGCGCAGGCAACACATTCCTTGCTCTGCGTGGGGCGTTCCAGAAGGGCCTTGCCCTCGACGAGGACAGAAAGAGATGTCATCTCTTCCTTGGCGGAAGGGGCTGCGGAAGGAGAACGAGGCCGACTCCGCCGGCGGACGCCGGCAGAAGAGCGGCAGAAGGGGGCGGAAGTAAAAGATGCGCCCCCAAGAGAAGAACGTTTTTGGGTTCAGAGTCTCTGGGGTCCTCCATGTGATGGATCGGAAATCCCCCGCGACTGGTCCAGGATATTTGCGGGTAGCTATTCTGCGAACAGTGGAATAACACGCTTGTCCAGACGTTTTTGGATTTTCTGGCCGTTCCCTGGGATTTCTCGGCTCGACTTTGAAGGAAAGGGGCTTCGTGCCGTACATGTCGTTCCCTATTCCAGCAACCTGGCTCTACCCTTGACGTTCAGGATGTGGCCAGCTGTCCTGCTGTCCGCGGCGAACCCCGCCACCGTGCCTGTGCACAGCGCAGGACGGAAACTGAGTGCAGTAGGAACTGCTCAGTTCCGACGACTGCTCTGAACTGGGACGGCTCGTGAACTCAACCTCGTCTTCGTCCGCGCGGACGGGGGAGGTCGAATTCACGCCATGTTGCAGTGCAGCGAGCGGTCTGAATTGAGGCGGGTCGCGAACTCGACCTCATCTCCATCTGCGCTGCGGGGAGGAGGATTCGGCTGGGTTCGGCTGACGAGCCCCGATGTTCACTGCTGTTACCCTGACCGCTGCCAATAACCCCACTGCCAGCTACCTGCACCTCCACACTTCCCCCCTCCTCCCACGAAGAGGCCGCCGGCACCGCCACGTCGCGGGGCGCGCGCGTAGACGAGTCAGCAACACATTCATCAGGCGGCCCCAGGTATGGCCCATGGGTCCCGCCAGGAGCCTGAGACGCTGAGACCGCAAACTCTGTTGCCGCCGCCGCGAAAGCCACAGGTGGGCCACGGTGGGAGGGGGAAGGATCTCTGCCCATCCTGGCGAGATTTTCATGACCCTTCTTGGTCGGGCCCTTCCTCCCAGCACACTCATTGGCGGGACGGCGTCCATCAGAGGCCGCCGTGAAACCGCGAAACTTCCTCATCAGATGGAGCAGAAGGGAGGCGTGGAGCCTCACACCTCCGAAGGACTGAGCACCACGCAGCGGCTAAAAGAGGCAGCTGCCCTCAAAACCAAGCACGGGACAGGACGAGATCGAGGGCGCACCACGCACCACCGTCGGCGACGAGAGCCCGCGGACACCCCCCGCGACGGCCTGTCCAGGAGCCGAGCCCTGGGGACAGTCTGCTGACACGATGGGCAAACGCCACCTGGTTACAGCAGGCCTGAAGCCACGAGTCTTGGTGTCGAAAAAGCCTTGTCGGGGGCCGACCTCGGGGGGTCACATGCGTCTTGGACGGCCTGGTGCCCGCCAAAGGCCTCACCTCCAAAGAACCGACGAGGGCACGCCGCGCCCTCCTACGGACCGCGGCAGCAGTGGTGTCACGCAGATTTGTGCGCCGGCGGGTCTGGACGACCGTCTGACCCCAAGACCACCTGGCCGCCATGCCCGCCCAAAGCGGGCTCGCACGCAGGGCCCTGACAGCGAACCGACTCCCGCTAGGTTTTGATCCGGTCAGGGGTCTTCTTGCAAAGGGGACTCCGTCCGAGCAGCTTGGACCTCGGCGGGGCCTCTCGACAGCATGTCGGCTCCTCCGCGGAGGTCGTCGCTTGCCGTGTGCCGTTGAGCCTTTGTCCACAGCAAAGTCCTGGACTCCTCTGAGGAAGTCGCCGATCAAGTCACTGTCGTTAGCCCTGGCAGAAACCGAAAACCCAGGATCCTCGAACTCAGGCAGCCTCCACTCCTCGGGACCACCTGGACCCATTCTGTCTACGAACGCACCCTCTGAACGAACCACTGTGATCATGTCGCTAAGCGCTGCTGCGTGCCAAGTACATCGACGACCTCGCGATGGCGCTAGAGGATGCAGCGACTTTGGCCTCCTTTCGGTGCGCCCTCTGGCAAGACTTGGCCAGGTGGCAGTCAACCAGTCGCTGCGGGAGATGCTTAACAAACACGAGCCATGCCGAAAATCGATCTTTGAAGCATTGAGACATGACCTGGCCCAATGGGATCTTTCAAATCTCTGCTGTGGAAGCGTTGGTTCGTAGTGAGACCTTGTCGCTCGAGATGCCCAACTAGTTGTAGACAATGGCAGAGCGAGGTTCCCAACCGACCTTGACCAGGATGGCCTGGGCAGCAGCGATCGGGCTCTTGACTTGCCGCCAACGAACAGGTTTTGTTCGCATTTTGCGGAAGCCTCCCCCTCACCTTGTACGAGGCTTTGCGCGCCCTAACTTGCAAGGCAAGTTGCGCTTGGAGAACCGAGGTGGGCCATCGACGCTTCCTGGTGCCAGCCGAAAAGCAGCAGCCAAAAAGCAACAGCAGTACTTCTTCTAAGCTCCAGAACCTGTGCCCCAGACGTCCCCAATAGCTGGTGCCCAGAGACGGCCAACGGGTACATCCCAGAAGACCAGAGTTTCGCGGTGAACAATATGATGCGAGAAAGCGTCCGGATCCTTATGACCCGACTTGATCTACGGCAAGCACGGACCTTCCTTGTCACCAACTTGCGAGAAGCTCTGCGACGTCCACCCGCAGCATCTGTGCCCAGGTAGACCGTAGAAGCAGCGAGCTGCGTCTCAGCCTCTCCTCCCACCTCGCGACCTTCCAACTCAGCTTTGCCAGAAGTGTCGAGCCTCGGTTCTGTGAGACCTGCTGCGAGGGATCCCCCTAAGCAGAGCATGCCGTCAACGACTTGCGTGCGTTTTCCCTCCGCGAGGCCCACGGCGTCGTCGATGTGGGTCCAAGTGCCAGCAGGCGGCGACCGAGCGGCGAGCACGATGAACGATCTTGCGGAGCATCACCTCAGCAGCCTGGACCCCGTGGGGCGACCCTGCCACGATCTATCTGGAGACCGCCAGGTCATGCCAAATCATCGTGCCCCTCTTAAGAAAACGTGGGGCCGCATACAACTCGACTTCAATCAACCGAACTGGGGGAACGGAAATCAACATAAGTATGAACATTCGGAGGTGCGCGCAGATGTCTTGGATCCACACTGGACCCCCTTCCGTGGCGCGCGGAGCGCGCCAGGGGCGGCACCAGATACGCCGCCATGGGGCCCCAGCGCCGATCCGAGAAATCCGCGCGGACCTCCGAGTTTTTATGTTTATGTCATTGCTCGTTCCCCTGAGAACGACGGCGGGGAAGCTGCAACCCAGGCCCGCCTGAGTCACCAACACAAAGCCCACAGTGCCGCATTGTTTTGAGATCTAGGAGCAGGGCCGCATAGTCGCAACCCAGACGCCTAGCACTCTCGTCCAGTGCCAGCCTGACGAGTACAGTTCTCATCGCCGACGACCCCGCGATGGCAGTGTCCCAGGGAACGCCCGCTGACTCTGACCATCTCGCAGGGTCGATTGCCTTCATTTTACCCCAGAGCTGTTACTGGGGGCCTTCACTTTACTCCTCCTTCTCCTCCTCCTCCTCCTCCTCCTCCCCCTCCTCTTCCTCCTCCCCCTCCTCCTCCTCCTCCTCCCCTCCTCCTCCTCCCCCTCCTCCTCTTCCTCCTCCTCCTCCTCCTGATCCCCTTCCCCCGCGCGGAGGCTGGCACCTCTGGAGGGGCCTCGTGGCTGGCCCCCCGGCTCCGGTTCGCGCCCTGCTCTCGCCAGCCCTCGTCCCGTCGGTCTTGCGCTCAAGTCGGGCACGTCCCTCTGCTGGAGGAACATCAAAACGTCGCCCCAAAGAGTGATCGGGGGACGATGTTTGACGATCTGTGTCTTTCAATGCTGTTAGCATGCTTGGGCCATTGTTCTTTCGCTCAAGATCCGCGTGTAGGGGGATACGCCCGACCGAAGCTCACACCACTGACCCGGAGGAGGGACTGCCCAGGGCCCTGTCTCGCGAGAGGCGGCCTGCGAGCAGTGCGCGCGGGGTGGGGGCGTACGATGGCTTGCCGGGGGGCGGCGCTGAGTCGATCCCCAGACGCCGTGTCCGACCGCCCCCTTTCCCCGCCCCCTCCCTCCTCCTCCTCCTCCTCCCTCCTCCTCCTCCTCCTCCTCCTCCTCCTCCTCCTCCTCCTCTCGCCTCCTCCTCCTCCTCCTCCTCCTCCTCCTCCTCCTCCTCCTCCTCCCGTGACCTAATCTGTGACACGTGAGACTCGAGTACGCCAGAACTCGGATTTGCCAACGCTCTCTGACGAGCGCGCCCCAGGGTTCGACGGTCCCTTGTCCGTGGGAGGCTTGTACCCGGGAATTTTGCATCCAATTTCGGGTTGGGCCTCGTCAGTTTCATGCTGGCCCCGTCAGGCCAACCTTCATGACGGCCCCAGCGAGTCCTAGCTCGGGCATGGCCTCCGACTTGGGCAGAGTCCCCCGAATCCGAGCCTGGCGTCTCCCCGACGTGGACCCCCTCCCCGTGCCCGTGGGCGAGGAGCACCTGTCCGCGTCCGCGTCCGCGCGGGCCGGGCCACGGGGTGCCGCGATATCCCGCATGCACGGGGCGCGTTTGTTGTTTCCCTGCCAGCTTGCTCCGCGTGGAGCGCCTCCGTGCGGCCGCGTATCCGCGGGCTCGCGCCCCGGAACCTCGGAGGGGGAAAAGGTGCCCCTACCGCCTCCCTTCGCTCGGTTTCCCCTTTTGGGGCTTCCTGGGCGGCCCTCGCCGCCACCGCCGGATTCGCCTCGAAATCCGGGTCGGAGCAGCACCCCGGGGGAGGTCCTGGGGAGCAGCGGTATCGGACGAGGGAGCGGAAGCCGATGCGGGGCGTTGCAAACATGGCCTCGCCTTCGGGGATGGGGGGAGTTGTCCCTTCTTCTCAGGAGGAAAAGAAACACACAGGCACAATTATTAACCCTCGATTCCCCAGAACATATGGGAAAATATGGGAAGTGGGGGGGGGAAGACAGAAACCCAGAAAATATGCGGAAATATGGGGAACATTTTTATTTGTGTGTATTTATTTGTGTGTCCCAGAGCCCCTTCATCTTCCTCGGCGGGAGGTTGGCAGGCGGGCGGCGGAGGCACGAGGAGGCCGCAGCCGCTGGCGGAGGGCGCTGGAGAAGGGCGGCGACAGGCGGCGGAAGTAGAAGATGCGCCCCTAAGAGATGACAGCGTTTTGGGATGCAGGGCTCCTCCTCCTCCTCCTCCTCCTCCTCCTCCTCCTCCTCCTCCTCCTCCTCTTCCTCGCCCTCGTCCTCGTCCTCCTCCTCCTCCTCCTCCTCCTCCTCCTCCTCCTCCCCCTCCTCCTCCCCCTCCTCCTCCTCCTCCTCCTCCTCCCCCACTCCTCCTCCTCCTCCCCCTCCTCCTCCTCCTCCTCCCTCCCTCCCTCCCCCCCGCCCGCCTCCGCCCTCCCTCTAAGAAGATGTGCCCCTAGAAGATGCGCCCCTAAGAGATGCAGGGCTCCAGAATCCGCCAGATTCGGGACGACCGACATGGGTACGGAAAGGATGGGTACAATGCCCAGCAGTCGGGAGCGGAAAAGAGGGGGGTGATGACTAGGGGGGGTGGACATCTTGGCGGGGGCCATGACAATTTCTCAGATCTCATGGCGCCCCTTCTTATGTCGTGACGTCCCTGGCCCTCCCGCTGGGCCGCGCACATGCCGCCGGTTATGATTTGCACACCCCCCTCTTGGACACCCCCCTCTTTGCCGCTCCCGAGACATGGGTACGGAAAGAATGGGTACAATGCCCAATTGCAGTTCCTGTTCATTTCGAACCGGGCTCGCTGTCGGTGTCGTCGCGGCCTGCGTACATTTGAGACAGACGGCCGCCTGCCAAACAACGGCCGCTGTTGGTTCGGGACGACACTTGCTGTTGGGCATTGTGCCCATTCTTTCCGTACCCATTTCGGGTGTGCAAACAGATGTTTGCCGCTCGTGACCCGCAAGCCCACTCTCGCAGGCCTAGAGGGTGACACCAACACCAAGATCGGCGGTGTGCCTCCACCGAGGGAAGAACATCCCGATCTCGGCGATGGTAGTACTATTCTGGCTTCCAGGGTGTTCGAAACAGTACCACCGACACCGAAATCTAGAATCACCTTCCCCTATGGAGGCAACCCCCTGTGTTGGTGATGGAGTAGGAGGAGGAGGAGGAGGAGGAGGAGGAGGAGCAGGAGGAGGAGGAGGAGGAGGAGGAGGGGGATGAGAAGGAGGAGGAGGAGGAGAAGGAAGAGGAGGAGGAGGAGGAGGAGGAGGAGGAGGAGGAGGGGGAGGGAGAGCAGGAGGAGGAGGAGGAGGAGGAGGAGGAGGAGGAGGGGGAGGATGAGCCTCCAACACTCCCCGTGCCAGGCGCCAGGTCGCCGGAGCTGCCGCGGCGGGGCTCCTCACAGCGGTGGGGACCAGCGGCGCCGCCCTGGCGGCATCGCCGCCCGCCGACTGGGCGCCGTCCGCGGTCTCGCCCGCAGCTCTCCTCCTCCCGAAGAAGGAAGAAGGCATATGCTTAATGCGGGATGACGATTAAGAAACAAAATGGAGGGGAACGATTCAAACAATAGTTTCCTGCTATTTCTGCATAATTTCCTGACTGGAGGAGAACGATTAGAAAGAATTGTTTTCCAGCCCGCGGCGGGTTTTTTCTAATCGTCATCCCGGGCGCCGCCGCGTGAACACGACCCCCGGTCATTTATTAATCTTCATCCTCCATTATGCGTAAGTCGGGCCTGTCCCTCTACAGGGGGCGTTTTCAAACATAGTCAAAATAAATAATTCTGGGACGATGGCTTTGACTGTGTTCGACCTTTTTGGGGTGTATTTGTTTGAAGATGTTGTATCGTTCATCCGAAATCCGCCTGTGGGAGGACATGCCCGACCTAGGCATATGCATGATTCCTCTCGCTTCGCGGGGTGCACGTCCGGAGCACGTACACTCCAGTCGTTGTCAGGCCTCTGGGAACTTCTTTGGGGCCCCTTGGAGGCCTCTTTAGGGTCTCTTGGGTCCTCGCGGGGGCGTCTGGGAGGCGTCTGGGGGGCCTCTGGGAGGCCTCTTGGGGGCCTCTCGGAGCCCCGTGTGGGCGTCTTGGGGGCGCTCTTGCGCTGTCTGGTCCCTTCGGAGACTGTCTTCGGGTACTCTTGCGGGCCTCTTGGGGCATCTCGGCGGCCTCTTTGGGCTGTCTGGGGGCCCTCTTGGGCCGTTTTGGGGCCCTTTTGAGGGCTTCTTGGCTGTTTGGGGGCCACTTCGGAGCCTGTGTCGGCCGTGCTGGACCTCTGAGGGTCGAAATAGGCGGGAACGCTGAAATCTTCAAAAAAAAAAAAACCAACGGAAAATCAAAGATTTGTGCTTGTGGAGGCGCTCTTAGGAGTTCTCTTGGGGCCGTCTTGGGCCGTCTTGGGGCCCAGTTGGGCCCCCTTGGGGCCATCTTGGGCCGTCTTGGCCCGCACAGAGGCCATCTTGAGCCTCCTGACGCCCTCGTGGCCCCCCAAGAGGCCCAAGAAGGGGCGAAATCATAGATTTGGTAGGTTCTGGGGCACCAAAAGGGGGTCGCCACGTTGGGTCGATGGATGTGGCGTAGCCCCTGGGGGGGGGGGGTAGGGGGGAGACAGAATAACGTAACACAAGGCAACATATAGCAATTATCTAATTATGTGACACAGTGGATACGTTGCTTCACAGCATCCGCGGGAAACGCTGCCGCTCAGCACGCCACTTCCGGACGTGGATTCCTCTCGCTTCGCGGGGTGCACGTCCGGAGCACGTACAGTCCAGTCGTTGTCGGGCCTCTGGGAGCTGCTTGGGGCCCCTTGGAGGCCTCTTTGGGGCCTCTTGGGTCCTCGCGGGGGCGTCTGGGAGGCGTCTTGGGGGCCTCTGGGAGGCCTCTTGGGGGCCTCTCGGAGCCCCGTGTGGGCGTCTTGGGGGCGCTCTTGCGCTGTCTGGTCCCTTCGGAGACTGTCTTCGGGTACTCTTGGGCCCGTATTGGGGGCCTCCTGGGGCATCTCGGCTGCCTCTTTGGGCAGTCTGGGGGCCCTCTTGGGCCGTTTTGGGGCCCTCTTGAGGGCTTCTTGGGCCGTCTGGGTGCCACTTCGGAGCCTGTGTCGGCCGTGCTGGACTTCTGAGAGTCGACATAGGCGGGAACGCTTTTTTTTTGTAAAAAAACACAAAAAACACACACACACACACAAAAAAAAAAATGGGAAAATCAGTGGTGTTTTGCTTCTGGAGGTGCTCTTGGGGTCCTCTGGGGGCCCTCTTGGGGCGTCTTGGGGTTTTTGTAGGCCATATTGGGGCCGTCTTGGGCCGTCTTGGGGCCATCTCGAGCCATCTTGAGGCCCTGTTGGGCCCCCAAGAGGGTCAACAGGCCCAACTCATTGATTTTCTTCCGGTTTTTGTAAGTTTTTGAGGCGCAGGAGGGAGGGGCCACTTTGGGTCGGCGGAAGTGGCGTGACCCCTGGGGTGGGTTAGGGGGGGTACACAATAATGTGACACAGTACAATATGTAGCAATTCTGCAATCATTGGTTATATTGGATACGTTGCATTATAGCCTCCGCGGACCTGCCTCCGGCAACACGTCATTTCCGGACGTGGATTATGAAGGCTTACGCCACATCCGCCGACCCATTGAACGAGGCCGATTTCGTTTTGTTTGGGGGTCTAGTTGGTCACAGTTGGAGATCCTCGTTTGTCCAGGATGCTTGGGTTTTCGAGTGGTGGTGGCGGAAAGGAGGCAATGCAGGAGGAGGCTGAAGGAAGAGGAGGAGCAGGAGGAAAACATTGGATGGCCCAGGAAGACCCCAGACGCCCACAAGAGGACCCAAGAGGCCCCCAAGAACCCCCAAACAGTTGCCCTGACCTCTGTAGTGGACGTCGCCTCCGAGCCCATCGTGGGCTACTGCTCTCGCTCAGACCAGCTAGTTCTAACCATGCAGCCTCTCCCGCCTGCACCCTGCCGATTTGATGATCCATTTGAAAATCCGCGCACGGGTTGTCAGGAATTGGGACCAGAGGTTGCTTGGTCGCCAAACGTATATTATTTGACATTTGGTTTGTTGCTCCTGGGCCATGAGTACTGTCAAGGCATGGGGAGTTGAGGTCACCGACGTGGCCATTTTGGTCTGTATTGCTCCACCTGAAAAGCCCTCATCTACGCGATGAACATTCACACCCTTCGGCTACCGCAGAGCCATCGCGAATGCTGTGTTGCAAACTGTAAATCCCGAAGCTGCTCAAGTGCAGGAGACCTCGCACCTGGCTCAGAGTATCTTGATCGCAACGGAACGCTCTCAAGCGAAACGCGGCTGTGGCGGCTCCAAACGCGGATGTGGCGCACTCCAAAGACGGAGCCGCCAGGGGATGCATCGCGGGCCCGTTCGTGGTCAGATCCTGCTTCGCTCTCAAGCGAGATGCTGTTTTGGCGCACTCGAGTTCTCCTTCATCAGAGGAGGTCGTGGCTCACTCTCAAACGAAGCGCTGCTGCGGCGCGCTCTCAGCGACAGCCGCCAGGAGGTATATCTCGGGCCCGTTGCCAGTCAGACTGTGGCGCGCTCTCAAGCGAATAGCTTCGCCCCCGAGCTCTCGCTACGCGGGGGCGTATGACGGGCCCGTTCGCGGACAGGCTGCGGCTCATTCTCGAGCGGAGCGCTGCAGTGGCGCACTCCTAGGGGCAGCCGCCACGGGGTATATCGCGGGCTCGTTCGCGGTCCGATTGGTTGCTCACTCTCAAGCCAAATGCTGACCCAGCGCCCCCGAGTTCTTTCTCACCAAAGCAGATTCGACGCAAGCGACACGCCGTTTCGGCGTAGTCCACAGGGGGGGCGCAAGGGTGACCGCGGGCCCGCTCGAGGTCAGACCGGGCCCCCCTCTCAAGCGAAACGTTTGTTCGGAGCAGCGGGTTTCTCTTTTGCTGGAGCAAATTGCAGCTCGCTCTCAAACGATCGGGCACCACGTGTGCACCAGAGCTCTTTCGTATCATAGCAAATTGCGGTTCATTCTCAAGCCAGACGCCGTTAGGCCGATATTCCCTCGCGTTCAGACACGCGCGGCGAGAATCGCCAGAACATGAGATTGACATATTGGGAGCTCCGTGCCTGATAACGCTGAGTGATTCTGCGCCTGCCACTGCCTACGATTGCCCGCTCTTGCCCACCATTGCCCACGACGGCTTGCCCGAACGGTTCCGGAGGCGGTTGGGCGCGCATTTCTTCCACATTACCATCGTGTTGTTGCAACATTATTAACGAGTATCGCGAGGCGTGTGTTGACATCGGCGCGCGTGCGAGTGGATTCTATTATGTTGATGGTGACGATGCCGATGATAACGACGATTGATAATATGGTGATGATGGCGATGCCTGTGACGATGACACTGACGACGACGTTCAGGATGAGTACGCTGGTGTTCGTGACGACGATGCGGACGATGATGCGTACGATTGCGGCGACGACGGCAGTCGCGAGTAGTGATATGCATCTTGGATCGAGGGCGCATGATGCAGATAACGGTGGTTGCGATGCACATGGTTGTCGCGATATTGAGTCTGATGCGGATTCTGGGACGAGGTTGGTGATGATTCCGTAGGTGATGCTAGTGTGGACATCGTGCAGATCAGAGCGCTTGCGTTTCTGATGACGATGGTGAGAGAGGCGACCATGCATCGGGACGTGGTGATCGGAGGCGCGTGATGCTGATACGGCCCGGAAAACAACGAAATGCTGTGCAAATGCATGCGCAATGTTCCGCAAAGCAAGCTTCCGGGAGCTCTACCAGCATGGGGCGTTGAATCGCTGTCTCGCGCGAAGGGGGGGGAGCGCTAGTGAGTTCATCGGAGAGCCAAATCATGAAACGCACCGCGCTGCACCGCACCAAAAAGAATTGGATTGCAAAACGATTTCAAGCAGAGCCTTACCACGACAGCTTCCTCGCGTTCAGGGTACATTGGTTTTCAGTTTGTCTGAAATCCTGCCTGATGTGCAACTACTCAGCTCAATCCCAAGCCCGCGCTTGCACTGTGGGGTTGTTTCCTTTGTGCAGCTGTGGTCGCCTTTCGGGGTGAGTGTGTCGGGGCTTCGTTCCGCCACAGGACTCCATTTGCGCTCGTGCAGAAAATTATGGGTTTCGCTTGGTGGGCGCCTCGTGTGGGCGGGTGTGCTGGGGATGCATATTCAACTTCCCACGCCAGCGCTTGCACTTAGGGTTTTCCATTTGTCTTATGGTTGGCCTGTTGCACCACATAGCTTGCGCACTTGTCCTTGCAGTATACAGCTTGCACCACATAGCTTGCATTACGTAGTTCGCACCACAGGTTGCACTACGTGGCTGGCGCCATATATCGCTTGCGTCACACACGCACACCGTTCACCACACAACTGGCATTACGCAGCTTGTACCACAAAGCTTGACACGCAATGCACCACATAGCTTGCATCTCGTTGCTTGCACCACGTTGCGCTCACCATGTGGATTGAATCAGATGGCGTTCCGCACGTAGCTTGCGCCACACATGTTTCCTTTCATGTCCTGGTCCTCGTAGCTTTCGTCACTTCAGCAACCACCACAGATCATGCACCGCCAGGAAACAACAATTCACTGGGGCCCATTCACGTTGCAAACATGTGTAAGCAGCTACCAAGCCCGTTTGTCGCACACGTTCCAGTAACCCGTTCTGAAGCCTTAAAAAAGTGCTTTGCACAGGGTGCCCGCGTTTTGTCTTATGTGTTGGATGACCCGAGGCATGTTCATTCTCATGCACGTGTCCGTTTGATACAGTGATGCGCGTAGCCATTCAAGGCCTTAGTTGTCAGCCCGCCAACGTTCGCGCTTAAGTTAGTGTGGTTTTGCGTATAAAACACATATAATGTCCAATCCTTCGGGGTTCTTGTATACTGCAGGCCATGCTAACGATATCCTGGTGCGCGTCGTGGGCGCTATCGCGAAATCACCCGCAAGAGTTCCGAAGTCAGCAAATATCAAGCGATCATCCTGCAAGCGGAACGGGTACGAGGACGGCGGAGAGGGCGAATGCGTCTTTTGCGTTATGGCTGTGCGTTGAGAGCCTCATGTCAGCACTTTTTTAGTTCAAGACTAATGCCTTTCGAAACGCGCAGCAGATCAATGTTGCCGTATTGGTGGCAGTCGAAATCCATGCCGAAGGTACAGTCGGGAAGCGGGCCCCGTATTCAAGCGCATGGAGAAAATAGGGGTAGCGGACGTCTGCGTCCTACCCAATGTAATGCCTTTCCCCCCTTTCACTTCACAATCATCAGCTGCTAAACATGGGTACTACTCTCCTCTCCCGCTCTTTCCTGGCACATGCGTGGTTCTACTCTGTTTAATTGCCCATTCGATCGGAACGTTCTCGGTCTTTTGATTGTGGTCCGGTGGCCATTCATGCTCTGCGCAGCTCCCGTCATGCAGATTCGTGCTTTCGCCCAACCTCGGGCCACATTTCCGGGTCAGTTTCCTTGCAAATTTTACGATGTTCCAATTTTCTGTAGCTCGATCACCAAAAAGAATTTCGAGCATTTTTTTATTGTCGGGCCTTGGGAGGCGACACTGTTTCGACACTGTTTCGAAACTTTTCTGGGTGCTCGAAATTATGTCTGGGATGTGGCCCCTAAGTATGATTGGAGCAACATCATGCTAGTTGTTCCCGTCCCCCTCGTTTCCCATCTTCCCGTCTCTTGTAGTCTTCCTTCCCCCAGTTAGCGGATAGAGAAATTCCGCGCAGTTGGAATGGAGGAGTGGGTCCTTTGGGACGCCCTAGCGGATGCCAGATACAGCGCGAACGCATATGTATATCGGAGGTGAGGGGGTGAGATCGAAGTGGAACGGAGAGCCCCCCTACCGGGAAATCGATTTCGGTTTCGTGTTCGTGCGTGCCGTGCGTGCGGGCGAGGCGAAGCTGCGTGGGCGGGCGAGAGAAAGTCCCCTGTGGCTGAGGCGCGGCCGGACCAAATGTGTCTCTTCCGGGCGGCCGGTGGCGCGCGGTGTCCCGCCGGTGTCCCGCTGGTGTCCCGTCGGTGTCCCTGTGGCTGAGGCGCGGCCGGACCAAATGTGTCTCTTCCGGGCGGCCGGTGACGCGCGGTGTCCCGCCGGTGTCCCGCTGGTGTCCCGTCGGTGTCCCGTCGGTGTCCCGATGATGATGTGGATGATTATGATGATGATGGTGATGATGATGATGGTGATGATGGCGATGATGATGATGTTGGTGTTGTTGTTTGATGATGATGATGACGTCGATTGTGAGATCGATTGTGACATCGATAGTGAGACCGAATGTGAGATCGATTGTGAGATCGATAGTGAGATCGATTGTGAGATCGATAGTCAGATCGATTGCGAGATGATGGTGATGATGGTGATGATGGTGATGATGGTAGTGATGGTGGTGATGATGACGATGATGACGATGATGATGATGATGATGATGATGGCGTCGATTGTGAGATCGATTGGGAGTTCGATTGTGATATCGATAGTGAGATCGACTGTGAGATCGATAATGAGGTCGATTATGAGATCGGATTGTGAGATCGGTAGTGAGATCGATAGTGAGACCAAATGTGAGACCGAAGTGAGATCGACTGTGAGATCGATTGTGAGATCGATTGTGAGATCGACAGTGAGACCGAATGTGAGACCGAATGTGAGATCGAATGTGAGATCGATTGTGAAATCGATAGTGAGATCGATAGCGAGATCGATAGTGATATCGATAATGAGATCGAATGTGAGATCGATAGCGATATCGATTGAGTGAGACGTTGGTTCCCCCTCCCCCCTCACCTCCTTATCACCCGCAGGGTGGTCGTATAGGGATAAATATATATATATATATATATATGTGTGTATATATATATATATCGGAGGTGAGGGGGTGAGATCGAAGTGGAACGGAGAGCCCCCCTACCGGGAAATCGATTTCGGTTTCGTGTTCGTGCGTACCGCGCGTGCGGGCGAGGCGAAGCTGCGTGGGCGGGCGAGAGAAAGTCCCCTGTGGCTGAGGCGCGGCCGGACCAAATGTGTCTCTTCCGGGCGGCCGGTGGCGCGCGGTGTCCCGCCGGTGTCCCGCTGGTGTCCCGTCGGTGTCCCTGTGGCTGAGGCGCGGCCGGACCAAATGTGTCTCTTCCGGGCGGCCGGTGGCGCGCGGTGTCCCGCCGGTGTCCCGCTTGTGTCCCGTCGGTGTCCCGTCGGTGTCCCGATGATGATGTGGATGATTATGATGATGATGACGATGATGGTGATGATGATGATGGTGATGATGGCGATGATGATGATGATGATGATGATGATGATGATGATGATGATGATGATGGTGTTGTTGTTGATGATGATGACGTCGATTGTGAGATCGATTGTGACATCGATAGTGAGACCGAATGTGGGATCGATTGTGAGATCGATAGTCAGATCGACTGTGAGATCGATAGTCAGATCGATTGTGAGATGATGATGGTGATGATGGTGATGATGGTGATGATGGTAATGATGGTGATGATGGTGATGATGGTGATGATGATGGCGTCGATTGTGAGATCAATTGGGAGTTCGATTGTGATATCGGTAGTGGGATCGACTGTGAGATCGATAATCAGATCGATTGTGAGATCGATAGTGAGACCGAATCTGAAACCGAATGTGAGATCGATAGTGAGATCGATTGTGAGATCGATAGTGAGTTCGATAGTGAGACCGAATGTGAGACCGAATGTGAGATCGACTGTGAGATCGATTGTGAGATCGATTGTGAGATCGACAGTGAGACCGAATGTGAGACCGAATGTGAGATCGATTGTGAGATCGATCGTGAGACCGATAGTGAGATCGATAGCGAGATCGATAGTGATATCGATAATGAGATCGAGTGTGAGATCGATAGCGAGATCGATTGAGTGAGACGTTGGTTCCCCCTCCCCCCTCACCTCCTTATCACCCGCAGGGTGGTCGTATAGGTATATATATATGTATATATGTATAGTTTGTACGCCCCGACGCCCCCGTCTCCCCTCCCCAGCATCCCCCGTCTGAGGCCACGCTGCAGACGCAGCGTGACAAGCTGGTCGGCCTGCCGGGCAAGCTGAGGGAGGAGAAGTGGGACGACGTTAGGACGACTCTGAAGTCGTTGCCTGTGGGGCTGCTGTGGAACCTTGGTGACAAGAAGAACACGGTGCGGATTCTGGGCCTGGAGGCAGGCGACGACGAGCTGATGGAGTTGTCGGAGGAAATATCGAGCTCGCTGCAGCTAGCTGACCAGTTCACGTACGACAACGCGTTCGTGAAGTTCCAGCCGGGCAACGGAAAGGTCCGTCTCGATGAGCCAATAGAAATGATCGAGACTGCGATGAAGAAGTTGGACAAGGCCATTAAGTTGACAAGCGAGGCGAGGTGAGCCCTCGCCAGGGTCAGATGCACGACAATTTGACGGTCGAGGGGCAGAGAAGGTTCGGCATTTTCCAGTGCCGCGCATCTTGCACGTATCTTGTAGAGGAAGACCGCGAAGTTATCCATCTTGTTTCTTTGTGATCGCAATGACCTTTGCCCGTCATTTCTTCCTATCGTCCCAAGCTGCTTGTTTAGATTGTTCTCCGGATTGTTTCCCATCATGCCGGCAGTGTGGTGCACAGCGCAATGGGCGCACATTTTCATTCACAGCGATCTGTTCACACAGACTTGATTCGGCTGTCTGTTACATTCCAAAGCGCAGGGGAAGACAGTGCCGTCACCTTCCTCCGTCTCCTCATCAAGGATTCTTCGCTGCCCAGGGGTTCGAGGTCATTCGATGTTTGCTTGCGTGGACTCCAAACGGTGAGCTTCTAACGAACTATGATCACCAGTCTATGTTGAGCATTCGATGTGGTACGGTCTATGTTCTGCAACATATCTTGCGCAAGCTACATTGCGCAGCCTATGATGCGCAGTAAAGTGGTGCGACCGTTGAGGTACAGCGCTTGTTGTGCAATATTTGTGGAGCGCATTATGGAGCCCACCAGATGTGGTACAACCTATGTGTTGTAATGTATGCTGTGTAATCCATGTTGTGCACTCTACGTCATGCGGTCCACATGGTGCAATAGATGTGATACAATATATGTAATGAATGCATTGAGCGCGCCCATTGTGTTACTAGGTGGGATCGGGTGTTGAGCTGATCTTATTTCCCTTTAAATCTCTTCCCCCTAATTCTTTCTTTCCCGCTAACTTTTCTTGTGACTTGTCTTGTATTATCTTTGATTGTCTTGTCTTCCCGTTAATTGTTTTGTTTTCCCGTCAATTGTTTTGTCATGTATTATTTCTTGTTAATTGTTTTGTATTCCCGTTAATTGTTTTGTTTTATCTTTATCTGTTACTTTTCGACTCCAAGGCCCCAGTGGGTGCGTTCGCATACAGGAGGAGACGGAGGAGGAGGAGGAGGAGGAGGAGGAGGAGAATCTCCGCATTCGCCCTCCATCTCCGAGAATCTCCGCCTCCTCGCTCCTCCATCTCCGAGAATCTCCGTATTCGCTCTCCATCTCCGAGAATCTCCACCCCTCGCCCCGCATGATTTCCACTGCTGGGGATTACCGTCCAAGGGTTCGGGGATTACCATCCAGAATTAATGGACCTCCCGGGGCCCCACCTCCCGGGAACTCTTCCCAATAAGTTCCAGATAAATATACATATTAAACGATCACAACGAATTACCGGGAAGGCCACCACCCTCCGGGGCCCTACCTCCTGGGACTTCCCGGGAAACTTTTCCCTCTAATGCTTGGACGGCAATTCCCGTTAATCCGGGACCTCCCGGGATCTCCCAGAGCCTCCCGAGGGCCCGACGAGGCCCCATGCTGAGGGCCCGCCTCAGCAGCTGGAGCAGCCGAGAGCTTCGAATGCCGAGCCCGTGCCTCCTCCCGTGCCTCCTCCCGTGGCTCCCCAGGGCTCCTGTAGGCCTTTGAGGTCCTTGGGTGTGGTTTTCCTGTAGCCCCACCCCCTCTACGTGTAGTATCAGAATATAGGCTAACCATGTAAGACCGAGTATGACTGACGCCCATAATCAGTAGTTGGAGCAGGCGGGAAGTACATGGAAATTATATGGAATTATATGGAAATTGAAGGGAAAATATTGGAATTATGGAATTTGTATTGAAATTGTAGGGAAATTGAAGCTCAAACAAGGAATTACCGGCAACTCAAAACCCGATCCCCCCTCTTGTAACACAACGGGCGTGCTCAAGCAATGCAATCACGCTGGTGCATTGCATGCTGTGCAACACTTCGTGTGTGAATATACGATGTGCAATTTAGGTGGTGCAAAGTATGTGGTGTGATATATTTGGTGCAGGCGGTATAAAGCAAGCTGTCTTATGCAAGTTCGGTTGCGCAATCAATGTTCTGCAATAGATGCGGCGCGCTATATGAGTAGATGCTGTGGAATGTATGTGGGACAGCCTTTGTGGTGCAATGTGCGTGGCGCAATCGATGTTGTGCGATCTATGTGGTGTGCAATCTACGTGGTAGAGTGGTAGAGCTCGTGCAGTGGAGGTAAATGCCCTGCTCCGCGCGTGGCCGCCTTCGATACGCGCGCAATCGTTCCACCCACCCGCCCGCAGCTTGGTTCGCAAAACCCTTGCGGCGGCGATTGCGGTGACTGCTTGGCGCTGGCCGGCGCATCGCTGCGGCCGCGCTCGCGCGCGGCGGCTCGCGCGCAGAGCGGCCAGCGAATTTGGCGCGACCGACGCGGCGCGGTGGCGCTCACCGTTGGGGTTCCACAGCGCGCTTGCAGGCCGCGCTTGCGCGCGCATCTCGTTCGAGCTCGGCCGCGCCCAGAGCGGAATATGGGAGAGGGGGGGAGGTTTTCGGGGGCGGGGGGACACGGGGGGAGCACGACGTCTGCAGCGTGCATCTCGTGTTTGGCTCCGCTCGGCCACACGCAGAGAGGGGTAGGGGGAGGGGGAGAGGCTAGGTGCGCTCGCGTTATATCTGACGTCCTACGCCTACGCCTCCCTCCCATTCAGTACCATGGCGTAGAGCTCCTCTCTATTCGCCCAGTCGGTTGTCGAGTTGGGCAATGATCCCGAGAGGGTGCGCGATGCATCGTCGAGCACGGCATAGCAGGGCGCAGAAGAGCACGGCAGAGCGTAGTATGTCACAGCATGACGCGGCGTTGCGTAGTGAAGAATTGCATCACAAAGCATTGCAACGCAAACAATGGCATCGCACAGCGGCACAAAACAGAACATGACATAGCATGGCGTTGAAGATCAAAGCGTAGCATGGCACAGCATGGCGTGGCACTGCGTAGTCAAACATTGCGTATCCTAGCATTGCAGCTGAAGGCATGGTATCGCTGATCGAAACACCGCATAGCATTGCATTGCATGCTGTGGCATGGCACTGGACATGATGACGCCACCGCCGCATTGGGAGCACTATTCGGAACGAGCGAAAGCGCGGAAACGAGGCCAGCGCTGCAGCGGGAGCACGATTCGGAACGAGCGTAAGCCCGAAAATTCGGCCAGCGCTTCAGCGGGAGCAACATTTCGAACAAAAGCCCCAGCGAAAACCCAACTCTTGGGAATCCTGTGTTTAAGAAAACAGTACGCGGAGGGGGGCCGAACATTCATATTGTATAGCTGCTCAAGGCGGGACGCGGAAGGAGGAGAGCCATTTCGTTTCGGCTCCGCTCGGCCTTGCGCAGAAGGGGGGAACAGGAAGGAAGAAGGTACCGATTCGGTTACCTTTCGCCCGTTTTCTTCGTTTCAGCCTCGTGGGAGGCCCTCGTCGCCACAGCTGCATTCGCTTCGAAATCCTGGTCAGAACGCACCCCAGGAGAGGTCCATGGAGTAGCGGCGTCGGTGCCCGTTTGTCTCCCCAGGATCGGGTCGGCCACGCGCAGAGGGGGGTAGGGGGAGGGGGGGAGGCCGGCATCTTCTAAGGAGCAGCCTCCTAAGACGCCGTCCCCTCCCCCCCCCCCGCTACCCCCTGGTGGGCGCGGCCAAGCCGCCTCCCAGCTGCGCCTCGGGCGCCGGGGGGCGCCGGGAAAACCTTTACGTGAGCTGATTCGTCAACCCCTCTGTGTCGCCAGCCCCTTTACTGCCCCCACCGCTTTCGTCTGACCCGACACCCCGGCCGGACCTTCTGCGGGCGACGATCCCGATGCAGCCATGTTGCTTTTGCTGCCGTTTCCGCGATGCACGGACGAGCTCGTGTCCGGCATATTCTGCACCAGATGGCCACGATGTTTGTCCATAGGCATGGGTCCGCTCTGATGGGGGAGCGACAGCGATGGGGAGAGCGAGAGACAGAGAGGAACAGAGAGAGATAGAAAGACAGACAAACATGTATAGGGAGGGATGTAATTATATGCAGTCAAATTCATACCACAAGCATACATACATACATACATACATCCATACATACATACATACATACATACATGCATGCATGCATGCATGCATACATACACACATGCGTACACATACATACAAACATCCATACATACACCCATGCGTGCATGCGTACATACGTGCATACAGTCATGCATGCAGTTCAAGCATGCATGACTATATACACGTATGCGTACATACACCCATGCATGCATGCATACATGCACCCATGCATGCATGCGTACAGTCACGCATGCAGTTCAAGCATGCATAAACACACACCCATACACCCATACATGCATACATGCAACCATACACACATACGTGCATACACACATGCACACATGCATACACACATGCATACATACGTACATGCATGCAGGCATGCATGCATTCAATCATACATACCTGAATGCATACATATCTAAGTTCCCACCAGCACCATATGTCTAGACATACGCATCTATACATACCTACACACCCACATACTTAGATCCAGACGTTCACATGCATACGTACAGTCATACACACATATATACTTACGCAAGCACATGCGTATGCACACATTTATACATATGCACTTGCATACATGTATTCAGGCACGTACACCTACTCACATGTACACACATAGCTGAACATACACACATATGCACAGACACAGAGAGCCAACCAAAGAGGGGCAGCAAGACAGACAGGCAGTCAGAGAGAGTGGGGGGGGGGGGCGAGGCGAGGCCAGCGGAAGGCACGGAGAGGGGGTGGAGGCCCTTTGCCGAGCGCGTCCGCCTCCTCCGCGTGCCGAACGTGGTCATCTTCGTGCTCGACCATGGCGCCCAGGAGGCCACGAGCTCCTCCCTGAGGGGAGGGTGGGCAGATCTTCGTTCTTGCATTCTCCTCTTCCTCCTCCCCCTCCCCCTCCCCCTCCTCCTCCTCCTGGTGCTCGGCCTCATGCCGCGGGGGCATCTGCTTCACGGATTGGCGTCACCACGCCGGCTCGTCCTGTTGGGCCCCGCCCCGCGGCACCCTGCCCGGGGCCGTGGGGCTCAGCTGCGCCTGTGGCGCTGGAGCCACTTTGAGCTTCCGGGCGCGGGGATCGTGCATCTGGCGGAGTGGCAAGCCGCGTCCTCGTGTGAGGCAGCCCTCTCGCGCGGGGCTGCTTCTCTGTCCCTCATGGCTCCCATGGCTCCTCTTTTTCGTCCTTGCTCCTTCCCTCCTTCCTCCTCAGCCTCCGCCCTCCTGGATTCCCGATCCTCCTCCTCCTCCTTTCCTCTTCGCCCCCGCCGCCCTCGGGCCCCACCCGAGGGCCCCATCTGGGAGCTCATCCCCACGATCGAGGTGCCCGTGCTCCTGGTGCCTTTGGGGGGGCCGCCTGGGGTGCGCTCGTGACGGCTGGATCCGCCTCGACATCCTGGCCATAACGCGCCCCTGGACATGTCGGCGTGGGCGGTTCTTCGGACCCGAGCCCAGCCATCCGGCGGCTCGCCGAGCCCAGCCAGTCGGGCAGCGAGGGCCCAG